AGTTATGGTCAATAATTGTACAATTTCTCATATTTAAGTAATTTTAAAGTCATTATACAATTACAGACATTAAACAAAACACATTCAAATTATAAATTATAACCCAGACTCAACATTGCATATCCTGCGATGTGATATTGTGAATGATCACATTGCGATATCGATGCTAAAACGATATATTGTGCAGCCCTAGAACATAACTTGTTTTTCTCTGTTCACCCTGACCATACTATACCCCATTGACAACTTCTTCCCGGCTTTCACCATGCAGAATTAGTTTGAACACAAAAGGTTTGAAGGGAGCCTGACTAAGCTTTGCATCTGATTGGTTCTCCGAAGTTAATGGTTGGGTGGGCCTACATTACAGTGTTTTACCATTGGCCTAAACCAGATAGGGTTTATAGCATCTCTTCTCCAGTGGGGGTGTGTGTCCATCTGCCCCCTTCATGGACAAGATAATCCTGGGTTCTTTACCTTCAGAGCTGTGAAAAAATAAAGGCAAAAGCATGCACTTTCAAAAACTCCTTAATGGGTTACTATAATCATCCCCCCACCCCACCGCCAAATATCTACATTTACAAAAGTGATTTAGCATATTCATAGTAATCATGTATCAGCAAAGGAAGAGACTAAGTTAGTTTCAAATAACTTTTCTGAAAATAAAACTTCACAATATGGATCAAATATGCTTTTATTTAAAGTGTTACCACTTTTGTGTTAAACTTACAGTTGAAGTCAGAATTATTAACCCCCCTTTGAATTTTAGTTCTTTTTAAAATATTTCTCAAATGATGTTTAACAGAGCAAGGAAATTTTCACAGTATGTCTGATTTTTTTTTTCTTCTGGGGAAAGTCTTAGTTGATTTTCTTTGGCTAGAATAAAAGCAGTTCTTAATTTTTTAAAAGCCATTTTAAGGTCAAGATTATTAGCCCCCTTAAGCTATATTTTGTCCGACAGTCTACAGAACAAACCCTCATTATACAATAACTTGCCTAATTACCCTATGCTGCCTAGTTAACCTAATTAACCTAGTCAAGCCTTTTTATGTCACTTTAAGATGTATAGAGGTGTTTTGAAAAAGATATAATCAAATATTATTTACTGTCATCATGGCAAAGATAAAATAAATCAGTTATTAGAAATGAGTTTTTAAAACTATTATGTTAAGAAATGTGTTGGAAAAATCTCTCCTTTAAGCAGAAGTTTGGGAAAAAATAAACAGGGTGGGCTGATAATTCTGACTTCAACTGTATATGTGAAATGATGAATAAAAATATGATGTGCTTTTAAAAAAGGACAAATCATCATACTATTGTCATATTTTAAGCGTGGTTTCTTTATAAACCAATTTTGAGAGGATCACATGCTTATGATTGAACACAGCTGGTACAGCATCAGATCCGTATATTCCCACCAATCAGATGAATACTGACCCACTATAAATAACAAGAGTTTTCCACTCCAGTCATCTTAGTTTTGAAGGATCCCCCCTTCCACCCCCACTTTGATAGGGTGGCATGGCGGCCCAGTGGTTAGTACTGTTGCTTTAAAGTTTGCATGTTCTCCCTGTGTTTGCGTGGGTTTCCCCCTGGTTTCCTCCCACCGTCCAAAGACATACACCTTAAGTAAATTGACTATTCCAAAATAGCATCTTAAGATAACTCTTGGCTAGATATATCTCAGCACGTTCATAAGCAGGGGAGTTCTCGAGACCTACCTGAGCTCAAACTCCCTTCTCGCCTTTCAAACGGTAGGGAGCCCCAGGCTCGAGGATATTCTGAGTTCAGGGCTCTCTTCTAAGACAGCATGCCAAATACGCTTTATTATCAATCATCAGCTTAGTGTAACCTCTTGAAATAATAATAATAAAAGTTAAAGGCTAACAAATGGACAAAATTACATTAATTACTTTATACATTTATTACTGACTTCAGGAAGCTTAAAATAAATGGGAGGGGGGGGTGATGGGGAAGAAATACAAGAGATTATGAATCATATTATTCACACCATCTGTAGAGATCATATTATTCACATCATCTGTAGAGAGTGGTGTGTTTTATGGTGCCCACAAGGGGGTGTGAAATACTTGGTAAAAACAGGCTGATGATTTTGAGCACTGGAAGCTGATTACAATTATTTATATATGGTTAAACAGTGTTAACTCAATGTTTGGCTCAACTCATTCATATTTAGAACTAAATTATCAACTACAGGATGTGATACATGATGATGATGTCACCACTGCTTGCTTGGTTTGGGACTTGTGGAGCTGTGCATCAATGGATTTGCTCTTCTGTGTCTGGACTTTCAGCAGTGTCATTTAAACATAACTGAACTGAACTTTACTTCAACTCTGAAAACCGAACTAACACAGTTTAAATTTTTTTAAAAATTCAAACAGGAACCTTTATGTTATGCTGCTTTAACAAATTCTACATTGTAAAAGCATTATAGAAATAACATGAATTGAATTAAGTTGAATTGAAATACAGGTTGGTTTGTATAACTAATGTTTCATATTGGATCAAATAAATGTGAGAAAAAAATCTCTAATGTGTTTTGTGTGAATAAAATGTAAGCAACTCAGCTTTATTTAGCAACACAGTAAATTACAATTGTAGAAATAAGTACAAACAAAACAAAGGGCCTCAGGCCATAATCAGCACTACATGAAATATATATTATAAATCCAAAAGTACAAAAATAAATATTTATTGCTCTTTGAAATATTTTCTCGTAAAATAAACATAAAAATAAAAAGTCTACATTATTAATTCCATAACTGTCCATATTGTGATTATTCAGTGACAAGTCATATCTGGACAAAAAACAAGTTACCTTGTATATATTTTACATACAGTATATGCAACACATTTACATTAATGAATTAACCACAACTGGACCTTTTTCTGAGGTGAGTAATCATACCAGTTATAGTGTCTATTACAATTCCTTTTTGGTCAGTAGTGTTTAAAAAGCTGTTTTGCAGTTGATTTTATGTTTGCATATTCAGGGATGGGCATTCTTTATAATACAAGTATTTAAAATACAGTTAAAATCAGAATTATTAAACCCTCTTTGATTTTTTTTCCTCTTTTAAATATTTCCCAAAAGATGTTTAACAGAGCAAGGAAATTTTCACAGTATGTCTGATAAAATTTCATTTTCTTCTGCAGAAAGCCTTATTTGTTTTATTTCGGCTAGAATAAAATCAGTTTTTAATTAAAAAAAACATATTACGATCACAATTATTAGCCCCTTTGGGTTATATAAATTTTTAATTGTCTACAGAACAAACCATCATTATACAATAACTTGCCTAATTACCCTAACCTGCCTAGTTAACCTAATTAACCCAGTTAAGCCTTTAAATGTCACTTTAAGCTGTATAGAAGTGTCTTGAAAAATATCAAGTCAAATATTATTTACTGTCATCATGGCAAAGATAAAATAAATCAGTTATTAGAGATGAGTTTTTAAAACTATTACGTTTAGAAATGTGCTGAAAACATCTCTCTGTTAAACAGAAATTGGGGGGAAATAAACGGGGGCTAATAATTCAGACTTCAACTGTATGTATTTCAAATATAAAATAGTATTTTGTCATTTATATTTGATAGGGTTGATGAAAAAGGCTTAATATTTTGTATCAAAATACTTTAGTATCTAGTATTTTTGTATTTATAAAATACTGTAAAATACTTTGTAAGAAGTCTACATGATAACATCATTAATATGCAGCCTCTGATTGGTGCTTTCTCAGTTATTTGCCTTGGCTTGAGATCAGACCAGAAAATTGATTCATATTAAAGAAATGCTTGGAGTATGGATGGAAAATATGCAACACACATAACACCTAAAGATGGTGTACTAGGGTTTACTAAGTAGTTAAACTGAGACTCTGCAGTTAAAAAAGAACTCTTGAAAGAATGGATATACTGCACAAATAAAAATAGATTTAGGTGGATTGCTGATGTAGATGTCAAGTAAATAAGTACGGTGGCAATACTCACAATACTTCATTGGCAGTTGATTCATTTCCAATGCCAGTTGATTTGCAGGTGCTAATGAAAAGGAAAGATGTCTGTCTATGAAGAGTTTATTTGCAAAAACTGATAACTCCATTTTTAAAGATATTATGTTTTGCGTTGGCTGACGCTGTGGCGCAGTAGGTAGTGCTGTTGCCTCACAGCAAGAACGTTGCTGGTTCGAGCCGTGGCTGGGTCAGTTGGTGTTTCTATGTGGAATTTACATGCTCTTGCTCTCCCCACGCTCGCGTGGGTTCCCTCCAGGTGCTCTGGTTTTCCCAGTCCAAAGACATGCAGTACAGGTGAATTGGGTAGGCTAAATTGTCCGTAGTATATGAGTGTGAATGAGTGTGTATGGATGTTTCCCAGAGATGGGATGCAGCTGGAAAGGCATATGCTGCATAAGTTGGCGGTTCATTCCACTATGGCGAACCCTGATTAATAAAGGGACTTAGCCGAAAAGAAAATGAAAAAAATATGTTTTACGTTGTGCAGTGAAGAGTAGAATTGCAAAAAAAAAAAAAAAAAAAAAAAACATGGTTTATGGAAATTTCTGTCGTTTCTGGATCTTGTTTTTACTAAATTCATAAAAAATTATATCTAAATTTATTTTAAAAACTATGTGAGCAAAAAAAATTAATTTTTTAAATTTTACTGAGCCCCCAATGGATGGAAACACAATGAAGAGATGTACTACTATGTTTCATCTCATTATCTGCATTACATGTTTTTTACAGTGATTAAACATCTTCAAGACAGGGATTTCTGTATGAAATGTATACTAAAATGAAAAAATCCATGGTTTATAAATACCTATGTACAGGAGTAGAGATGGAGTTGGCAGCGAAGCTGACTTAAGTTGCTCAAGCATTGTTTACTTCATGAAGTTAGTTTAATGGTGAAGAGATTGATCAAATATGCCTATTGATGGAAGGTTTGAGAAGAAATGTCATGTTCCCTTGTAAAAGTTGTAGTATTTTCAAAGTACAGTATTTTATTTTGATACATTAGTGGCTGATGTGTTTTGTAGTTTATTTTGATACATATAAGATTGAGTTATTTGGTATTTTATTTTAAAATACATTTTAATATTTTTGCCCATCCCTGAGCATATTCAGTGTCTTGACCATCAATAAAATCTTTGTGGGTCAAGAAATATACGTCCTAATGTGTGCAAAAGCCTTGCATACCAGTAAACCTCCTTTTGTTGCAAGAAAGCATTTTCCATTTCAGCCCTTGTGGCATCTTGCCATTTGAACACACTGGATAATCTACTGTGCATCACACTTGTGAGAATGGTCTGATTTGTGGAACAGATATAAGGCACCGCCACTCTTTGCAAGTCCTCCTCCATTTCTTTGTTAAAAAAGACAAACAGGACACGAAAAGGCCAAAATACAGTGTGCGCGAGTCCGTGATCCTGAAAAGTAGCGTAGTTGGACGCCAGCACGCCATCCACAAATAGGTTCCCATGTTCTGTCAAGGGAGCATAAACCCCCATCCTCTCCTCCAGAGAAACTGAGACCACTTTAGATGGCTGGATTCCTCTATCGCCACCAGTAGTAAGTATATAGTCCCCAATCCTAACATTTCTGGCAAATACAGTTTCATAGTCATGATGGTGCAGTTTGAGATTGTGAGCCGCAAAGATGAGGTGATTGGGAGTAAGTGCTATTCGTTTCTCATTTTCAGTAGTAATAATAAAGAAACTGGTTCTGCTCTCTCTGTCCAGATGAAGAAAGAGAAGTACCCGACTAAAAACAACTTCACCTGACCCAGACACAGAAAGCACCTTCTCTCCAGGCCACAAACATGACATGGGCTTTTGTACACCATCAGCCATTGTCACAAGTCCAGATGCCGAAAAGCAGCCACCTTTCTCCACGGCTACAGAGTGATCTGTAATGTAGAGGGGAATGACTTATTATCAATCAATCAATCCAATGTGTTATCATTTACTGACCCTCAGAGACCCATATGAAAAGATATACATGAGGATATATGCGCATATATGAAACCTATATGCAGTATATAAGCACATTTATGTGTATATATCCCACATATAGGCAAAATTGAGGTGCATATATGTGCATATACAGGCCATATAGATCTCCTGCATTGCTTTTTTATATCAACATATAAGTCATATGTACAAGATATGTCTTCTATAAAGTAGCTTATATCTCACTTTAGCAACTCAGACATGATGCCTAGCTCATGCTGTCTATTATCAAGGCAATAACTAAGAACTAACTAAAAAAAAGCAAAAAACGTATGTATGTGCAAACTATGGCAAATAAGTGAGAGGAGATGGAAAACTGTGATGTCCACATGTTTCCTGAAACATTTACAAGGTCAAATCTTTCTTGTATCAAGATAGTGGAAAAGAAGGAAATGTAAAATGGTGTGTCATTTTTTCTGTTTTGTCTTATTTTTGTTCTTGTACTATATTTAAAGTAAATAAAAATTGTAAATTTGAATTTTTTGGATATTAATAATTTTACTAATGTGCAGGTAAACAAATAGGTGAACATATATGCACACAAATATACATATAGGAACCTAGGTACATGTATGCATATGCATATATATATATATATATATGTACACATACATTATATGTATTTATAATATAGAAAAACGACAGATTTGTCACATATGTTAAAAACCTATTTTAAAACATATATGTTTATATAGGTTCTTTTCATGTGGGTATCATGTTGATTTTAATATGATTTATGAATCTTTTTAACCCCCAATATCCTCACAATCAAGCTTTTTTTTTATTTAGGTGAAAAAATAAGTGAATGACTTTTACCCCTTAACGCCATTTATTAATCTGATAGCACATTTAGAAATCTAGCACCTTTTACAGCTATTACATAGCTGGGAAGAGCTAAGCTATTATTTTAGATGTATACAGTGAAAATAATAAAGGCTAGAAAATATATTGTTTAAACAAGAAGATTAGAACTGTGAATTCACTGCAAGCTAACAATATCAGTGTTTCAGTATGTACCTTTAATTATGTTAATGAGGTTAAATGCTTATTAATTACATTATAAAACAGTCTGTTTCTGCATTTCTGATTGGCTGTGGTATTTTAGGTAGCATCTAGAGTTATGTGCTACACTAGCATCAGGCCACTCATGACATATCTGGTTAGGAAATGGTCTAAGGGTATAATATTCTTTTTTATATTTATTAAACTGTTCCTTTAATGGAGTGAAAAGCAGAAAGTAAAAAAGAGTGAAGCCACAGAACCACACACACCTTTTACTGTGACCATGAGCTAATGGTAGCTGAAAGGTTTGAGAATATAGCAGGATGTTAAAGAGATAGCTCAGGCAAAAATGAAGGGCTTTAAAATTTGTTTGAATTTCTTTTCTAACATAAAAGAAGTTATTGGTTGGATGTTGGTTACCGGTAGTCACTGCATTTCATATTTGGGAAAAAATACTTTGGACTTGCAGTATCTACTTTTTTTTTTTAGCATTCTTCTGAATATTTCAACATCAAACGTTTGTGTTTATGTGTTCAAACAACAAAATTGAAGAGTAATAAACAAAGACAGAATATTAATTTTTGGGTGAACTTGGGTGTGTTAAGTGAAAATATTTGAATAAGAAATCACAATGAAAAAAAGCTTACCTGCTTTGACAGAGCAGTGCACGTGATACTTGGATTCATAGTGCACCCAGTCAAATCCTGCCTCGACTGCCAGCTGTGCAAGTAGGCCGTATTTTTTTGTGTCCCGATCTGAGGTGGTGATGTCGACTGCACGGCCCTCATAATGTAGAGAACCAGGAGGGTGATGGCCATCCTCATCCCAGGCCTCTGTCACCCGCAGTCGAACCCCTGGCCACTGGTTCATTACTGCTATTGCCAGTTTATTTAAACAGTCCTTACAGCGCTGCAAATGAAACATATCATTTCACATAGGTTATCCAAAAGTGCTAAGGGGATTTTTTTTAAATAATCTCCATATACACTTAAAAATAAAGACTTTAAAAGGCTGTTTTCAAAACCAATGTCATAGATCAGGGTTGTCAGGCTTCCTTGAGGGCTGCAGCCCAGCACAGTTTAGTTCCAACCCTGCTTCAACACTCAAGCTGCGGTCACACTGGACTTTTCTCCAAATAGACTTCCATTCATTTGTACGCGAATGCATCAGACCGAAAACGCAAGCTCATGCGGCAAGTTTCACAGGTTGCTGCACTGGAAAGTTTATGCTTTGAAACGCTGACCTGCGGAATTGCATCACTTAAATGCGTGAGATCAATCGAGGACCAAAACATGACCTCTCTGGAGAGAAATTTTAAATATGGACCAATTGCTCGCTTTTTTAAATGTATACTCATCTTGTTTAATCCCGCTCCTTTTTGCAGCGCCGTACTACAGAATTTCGCAAGTTCACTATAGTGTGACCGCAGCTTCACCTGGAGGTTTAAAACAAGACTGACGGACTCAATTAGCTGAATCAGGTGTGCTTAATTAGGGTTAAAGCTAAACTGTGCAGAGCTGTGGCCCTCCAGGAACTTAGTTTGACACCTGTGCCATAAATAAACACTTTGGTAGAATTGTTTGGTTCTCCAAAGAGCCTAGCAGAGAATAATTCTTAAAAGAACCATTTTCTTGGGGTCAAGAACATTATAATAATCTAATAAACACCACAAACCACATTTTGTGCACTATTAATGTTAAAAGTTATTTTTAGAACCATTGATGCCAATAAATAACCGTTATTTTAAATGATGTGTGTCTAAACCTACTGTATGTGTCTTTTATTTTTGCGTAGAACAATATTTTGAAGACTGTCCATAAATCTCAGTAGACTCTTTTGACTTTTACGTTTTATCAGTCTGTCAGAATTCCACCTTTTTATAAATGATTTAAACCAGAGGTGAGCAAAGGCTGAAAGCATAGCAAATACCATAGCTTTTATCGGTTTCCACAATTCCATGGTAAATTTTGGAACTGCTAGACATTAGAAATTTCTTCTTCAGCTTATTCAGCAATGCAAAGGGCCATTTCCACCCTCCTTAACATCTAACAATAAGAACAAAGCTACTTTAACTCATTTCCAGCATTCTTCAGACACTTCAGCATGGTCACAGAGTACAGTCAAGGTCATTTTTCTTCACACGATGGGAACATTTTCACACAGTCTTTTGAATGACCCTGGTGAAAACCTTGAGACTTTATAATACAGCATTTAGTCTTTCTCAAAACGTTAGGTCCTTCTACACCTCACATAATGGAGAATCTGTGAAAAAAGTAGTATTATTTGTCTGTGAAACTAATATTATGTGACCCAGGGTGCTATGGAGAGGGTATGGGAAAAGGCGAGAGAGCAAGACAGGGTCGAAAAGCCGAGAAGAGCGAGAAGAAAGCAAGGACCAGTCTGAGCGAGAGGGCCATGGGATGGAATGTTTAGAAGTGTTCTTGGGAATGTGACAGCAAGAGTGAGAAATCAAGAGGGGAAGAAAACAAACCGGGGAGATTTTTCTCGCAATGCTGTTGGACAGAGGCGATTCATTGTGAAAACTACAATAGAGGCTTTTCCGATGGTGCCATTACTTCAACAGGCGAGAATTCTGCACAGGCGACCCCGCGGAGGCTTGAAAATATGCACAAAGGATAGCTTTCAGAGTTGCGCAATGAGAGGGCACATGCATACGTACACATACACCAACTCCAAGCACTTCCATTAGGGTGCTGACTTATCAGCCATATCACACTTATCAGTAATATCTCAAAACGACCTATGATACCATGACAGATTAGGCCTTGGCGAAGTCATTTAGCTGAAAATATCATCATATTCCCATGAGATTTTTATTTGACATAAAAATATATATATATATATTTAGTGTGCTCTGTTCATAATGTTATCTGTCTTACTTGCTGGATGTTTATCATGTTCAAACAAGGAAAAACACACTGACTTCTTGGCTAAGGAGGTAGAGGTGTAGTGATCATTTTAAAGCTCACCAACAAAGAAGTTGGTTAAAGATTAAAGGGAGCAGTGGAAGTCCAGACAGTCCTAATGTCACGTTTTTAACATTTGCTAGGGAACATGGCAACATGGGTAAACATTCTATCAACATCATGGGATTGTGACTGACAGAGTTGCTTTGCTTGGACTAGTTTGTTCCTATAGTTTCAGCTTGACACATGTAAACATTTCTAAAAGGCTATATATTCATATATGAATCTTTAATTTTGCAGGGCTTGTCCAGAATAGAATCATGTTCTGTCATTGATCATCATATTAATTTGATTCAGTTTTTTGACAATGAATCAGCTGAATTACAGGAATAACAAAACCCTTTTGTTTTTTTCAAGCACTGTTTAACTGTGCATGAAGTATGTCATGGATGGCTGAGGAACTTGAAAGGGCCTCTAATGCGTCTGGTTCATGCCATGATATCTTTTTCTATTTTTTGAATAAGATTTTAAACGCAATATGAAACAAAGAATCTTTAAGTGTTAATAAATTACACAGAGCTATTTCACTGTAGAAGTTCTCAAATTACTGTAATTCATATGTGGCTTTACAGCTGTGCATTTAACAAAGAGTAATATGGTGAAGTGATGTCTTACATTCAATTGGAAGAGATTAAATACATGATTTGAGGCTTAAAATGCAAGTTCCTGGAGAAATGGTCCCTCTTTATTAAATATTTTGAAGAACTCCCTGGCCTTTAGAATATATGTATTTATTTACTTGTGTTTTCTATGTTATTTCTTTGTTGTACTCTTAGAATGTTACCAAGCCCTTCATGTTAAATGATAACATTCATTCATTTTCTTTTTGGCTTAATCCCTTTATTAATCAGGGGTCGCCACAGCAGAATAAACCACCAACTAATCAAGCATATGTTTTACGCAGCGGATACCCTTCCAGCCACAAACAAACACTGGGAAATACCTATACACTCTTGAATTCACACACACACACTGTGGCCAATTTAGCTTATTTAATTCACCTATAGCACATGTCTTTGAACTGTGGGGGAGACCGAAGCACTTGTAGGAAACCCACGTGAACACGGGGAAAACATGCAAACTCCACACAGAAATGCCAACTGACCCAGCCGGAGCTTGAACCAGTCACCTTCTTGCTGTGAGGCGATTGTGCTACCCACTGCGCCAACGCGTCACCCTCAGGTGATAACGTATTGACTAAAAAATGGCATAATGTATTTCCTCACTGTTAACTTTTATATATCTTCAAGATGATAGATCTTGATGCACTTATTTTCCTTCTTTTAGGTGTTGCCAAGCCTCTCATGTTAAATGATTACATATGGACTGAACAAATATGGTACACTCTGTTTTCTCACTGTAAACTCAGAAAGTCTGGAAAGATACATATTTTATTTTTCATTTTGTCAATGCCGTGGTTGCGGTAGGGGAGGGGTAATGAATTGCTTTAAATTGTAAATGCATATAAAATATGGTTAACAGTAACCAGGCTGATAATCCATTTAGTAATTAACTGTTCTAAAGATTATGAGTGTCTAAATGTAACAGTTTAAACCTGATATATGCACAAAAATGTAAATGTTGCTTCAATCTGTACAGTAGCAACTAATTGTATATTTAAAGAACTAAATAATAATGATTAACAATTCCTTACATTTATATAGAGCTTTTCCAGACATTCAAAGCACTTTACACATTATAAACAGTATACTTTGTGTGCGTGTACAGTTGACGTCAAAATTATTAGCCCTCCTGGGAAATTTTTCTCTTCTTATAAATAGTGTTGTTTAGCAGTTCTTTTTTTTCAGTTTAATTGCTTTACCTAACTAGTTTCTAATAACTAATGTATTTTTTTTCTAGCAACTGCATACTATTTTTCTTATTCTTTTGCAAGATACTAGTATTCAGCTTTAAATATGTAACTTGGTTATTATATTAACTAGTCAAGTTGGGCAAGTTATTGGAGGACAGTGGTCTGTTCAATAGGCAATTAAAATTATATATATATATATATATATATATATATATATATATATATATAGAGAGAGAGAGAGAGAGAGAGAGAGAGAGAGAGAGAGAGTAATAATATTGACCTTAAAATAGATTTTTTAAAAGTAAAATTTACTTAACAGTTTTTAAAAACTGATTTTATTCCAAAATATAAATTAAAATTTTCCCCAGAAGAAATAAAAAAACATTATAAAAAATACTGTGAATTTTTTTCTTGCTTAGACAAATATGACATGCTGGGAAACATTTGAAAAAAGAATAAAAAATTAACAGGATAGGTAATAAATTATATTATATTTACATCCATACATATTTGTAATTTTATGCCTGTGGAGGAGTAATTTTGAATGAAGTTAGTGAAGGTTTCCACACAAAAAAAATTAAGCAGCACTTTCTCAACAATAACAATAATTAGAAATGATCATTGTGCATTAAATCAAACAATGATGATGACTTCTGAAGACTTGTTGTTCTGACGACCAAAGCAATGATGCTGAAAATTCAGTTTACAATGTTCACATGATATTGTTTACAAGTTAAGAGACACGAGCACTAAGGTGACCCATCTGCAACACGGTCGACTCTGTGAACTATTAGCCTGAACATGCAGGTTTCCTTTACCTTGGTCATGAAGCGGTCAGCATTGGAGCGTTCCTCGTCTTTGAAGTCAATGTCAGTGTTGTAGTTGCACACGAGCTCATTGAAGCGCTCCGAGCTGCGCGTGATCCTGCCCTCCGCTCTTCCGCTCGCGCCCAGGTTGTTCTCGGAGACGCCGGGCACGTATTGCTTATAGGACATCGGAGTCAACTTGCGCTGCCTGTGGCGACCGCCGTAACCGGGACCCGGGCCGCATCCGTCAACCACCAGCCATGAATAAAGACACGCAGTCAGCAGGCCAAGCCGTGCCAGCCTTAACCAAGGAGCCAACGTCATTGACGCGCGTGGAGTTTGCTAGGAGATCAGCGAGCCGCGAGTCCTGCAGCGCGAGCGTCTCTCCAAACACCCCGTGACATCTCTCTGACACAACTGACTTTTTCCATGTCCATATCACGGTGTTGAATTAAAGCGGGGAAAGATTTCGTGAATCATTGACCAAAGTGTGCTGGTTACCTGATTATTAAGCAAAACATCCAGGCAGGTGTGATGAGTGAAAATCAATACATATAATTACTACTATATTTACGTCAATCCATTCATATAGTCATGTTTCAGTACTCCAAGCAAGGATGAATTGATGGCATCCTCGTTTGTAGATACTGGGATCGCAACAGGTGCTTCATCCCATCATCCTACCCCACCTTGGACAGCTCCGCGCGAAACAGCCTCCTTTGGAATTGGATTCAGGGCGCGCGTCTCTGTTTGTCCTGCCTGACAGTCGCTTTCAAACATAATTTCATTCCTTTACTGTCTGAGAGCTCGGCCTGTTTCAACGCGTGTTTGCTCCCGCTTTTAACCGCTGCGCTCGGACCATTGAGTATTTGTGACCGGACAGAAATCACCCTCCCTTCCTGCGCGCGCTCCAGGACAGTGGCGCACACGCCTCCTGCTCGCGCGCGTTTCCAGTCATGCCACTGTGAAGTCATATTGCAGCTTTTGTATTGGAAATATAGCGGGGGATACTTTCAGTAGGTTTTTTTTTGTATTTTCGCTTGAAAAAACAGTGTTGACTAACTTTAATGGCTGTAGAAAATATTTGTTAAGAATTATAATTATAACTGAGCTTTTGTTCACGATAAAATCATACGGGATTATCTGTAAAAGGCTAAAAAAAAATACTACATTAAATAACATTCATTCATTCATTCATTTTCGGTTTAGTCCCTTTATTGATCAGGGGTCGCCACAGCGGAATGAATTACCAACTTATCCAGCATGTTTTATGCAGTGGATGCCCTTTCAGCTGCAACCCAACTCTGGGAAACACCCATACACTCTTGCATTCACACACATACACTGCAGCCAATTTAGCTTACCTAATTCACATATACTGCATGTCTTTTGACTGTGGGGGAAACTGAAACACCCGAAGGAAACCTACACTAATACAAGGAGAACATGCAAACTCCACACAGAAATGCCAAGGTCGAACCTGCAACCTTCTTGCTGTGAGGCAATTGTGCTACCCACTGTGCCACCACAATGCCCCACATTAAAAGGTTTTATATTAATAAAACAAATGCATATTATGGACTGAAATATATCAACTTTATTATTAAAATATAAACATACATGTAAATTTCCAATGTGGCTTATAGATGTTTGGATAAAAACAGCTAACTAAAGTACAGTACATTGAAGTAAAAGTCAGGCCCGTAGCCAGCTCTGGAAAGGGGTGTACTTTTTTTTCTCAAAAAGTGGACCTTTTTACAGTTTTCTATTTAATTATGGGGTTTAAATACTACATTTAGTGACATTTTAAGCATTTTTTTTTACCTGGATTGGCTTGTCAGATGGTCATCATAACCACACTGTTTGACTAAATGTATTTCCTAAAGACTTAAAATAAAGAAATTTGAAGAATAAATAATTATTAAATATTTATTAATTTAATATTTTAATAATGTAACTTATTAATAATTTAAATTACAAATGGATTAAATAATATATCATTAGGGGGGAAATAATCAAAGTTGTAAATTTAAAACTGAAGCCTATTGTCATTAAGTCTATTAGGCAAATAACAAACCAAGCAGCACATTCAACTGTCCTCAGTCAGATTTTGGTCATTTGAATATTGAACAATTAAAACATAGTAATAATAATAATAATAATAAAAACAACAAAAATCATAATAATAACAATGTAGAGCTTAATGATGTTTTTATAGCCTCTCTTGTAAAAAGTACATCTGAAGATTCATGGGTGACAACAACCTAATTAGTATTAAAATTTGGCCATTTTTTTCCAAGAAAAAGATCCAAGATTTTGAACAAGTTCCTTTTAAAATGTTTTCTTATTTCCAATACAGTAGGTCAGTGGTGAAAGATGACTTTAGATTCTGCTTGGTCTAAACGCTTTAATGGGTTATTTTCAAAATTTATGATGCTTAGCAATTAAAATAGGACAAATAACTTATGTATGAGACAAATTCTGGACCTTTGTCAGTGGTGGGTAAATCTTTCGAACCACCTGAACCACCCAAACCCCCCTGGCTATGGGCCTGCACATAGTATTTAAAAACTTTTTCCTTATTATTTTTTACAATTTAGAGGGTTTTTTTTTTAAGCTGGTTAAACTATATGAATTGTAAAACAACAATCAGACAAAGCCTTAAGCGGCAGTCTCTCTCTCCTAGAAGTGCAAAAAAGCTCCCATTTACCCTCAACCCATCCGCTTGTGGTGTCTTTACATGCAGGTGAGGGTCACTGACATGAATCTGGGCTTCACTGACAGTTTCCTGCTGAGAGATAACACAGTCATTCCCAACATTTCTATGACTCATTAATTTCTCTCTTTGTTTTTCTCCTGAAACAGAAGACAGTGGCTGACACATGCTGTGCCCTGAGCCAAGAGGACCTCTGGGCTGTTAACACCCATGTTTTATCAGCTCCATGCTTTTAAACCACCCCAGAACAATGGCTCAAAATTAGAAGACAATACAAATATCTCAAGTCAATATATGGCAATGCGAGCGAGAGGAAGAAAAATAAAGAGCAGTAAAATATTAAAATGATTTCTGCTGACATGTGATATGCATACAGACATTTGGCAGTATAGACGATTAATTCACACACACATAAAACAAATATTAAGACTTTTAGGAAATGTATTAGTCCTTCAGATTAAGAGTTATATTTTATTTGCTAGATATTGTTTCTTTATTTGATTATCAGGTTTAAATTAAACTGACATCACAAATGTTTTCATACTACTGAACAAAACTATTAACCCCTTCGGACAATGGACATAGACAATGAACATCACATGTCGTTTTTATGTGTGTGTGTTCTGTGGCTCCTGAGCATTTCATCTAATTTAAAGCCTGCAGTCTATGAGAGTGGACGATTGTCATTCAATCAAATGGCAGTAAGGCTCAGCAGCATGGCATCACTTCATTCCAGACACAGACGTACAACAATCATGTATGTTGTTTTTTTTTTTTTGTATTTTATTTTGGGATAATGTTCAGGAAGTACAACTGTTCTGACCTGATGTTCATTAAATCGACAGAAAATACATATACTTAAAGAGTGCTGAATTTGAATTATTATAATTTGGTCTCATTTGTAGAGCCTCGAGAACTGAACATACTTTTACATGTTTTAGAAACTTGGAACATAATTCAGGTCTGAAGGTGTTTGGTGTCGTTTAGTTTGTGCAAAGTGTCTGGAACTTTTTAAACTTATAAATTACATTTTGAAATTACTTATTCAAACTTAGTCGAAAACAACTATAAAGCAACATCCGTTTGTGTCAAATGACAACTTTAAAATAATTATACATAAATATATAATAAGTAGAATAAAATAATTATATAAAGATTATATTTCTGTATTTATATTCATTCATTTATTTTCTTTTTGGCTTAGTCCCTTTATTAATCTGGGGTCACCATAGCGAAATGAACCACCAACTTATCCAGCATGTTTTAGGCAGCGGATGCCCTGCAGCTGCAACCAATCACTGGGGAAACATCCATACATAATCATTAACACACATACAGTACGGACAATTTAGCTTACCCAATTTACCAATAGCGCATGTCTTTAGACTTGTGGGGGAAACCAGAGCACCCAGAGGAAACCCATGTGAACACGGTGAATATGCAAACGCCACAGAGAAACGCCAGCAGACTCAGCCAAGGCTTGAACCAGCAACCTTCTGGCTATGAGGTGATCATCCTACCCACTGCGCCACCATGCACCCCTATTTATGTGTGTGTGTATATTTTTTATTTACTTACCTATCAAATGATGTTTAACAGAACTAGTAAATTTTCACAGTATGTCTGATAATATTTTTTCTTCTAGAGAAAGTCTTATTTGTTTTATTTCAGCTATAATAAAAGCAGTTTTAATTTTTTTTAATAAACAATTTAAGGTCAAAATTATGAGCCCCTTTAAGCTATATGTTTTGATATTCTACAGAAAAAAACATTGTTATACAATAACTTGGCTAACTAACCTAGTTAAGCCTTTAATTGTCACTTTAAGCTGTATAGAAGTGTCTTGAAAAATATCTTGTCAAATATAATTTACTGTCATCATGGCAAAGATAAAATAAATCACTATTAGAAATGAGTTATACTGGGAAAAGGAATATATGTTTTTTATTATTATTGTCTCTTTTTCTTTTCATTAAACAATTATTTTTATTTGGTCATTTAAAATTCATATATTAACTGAAATTTTTCTTAAGTCTGATATGTTGTGCATATTAATGAAGCATTTTTGCAGAAGTAGATAAATGCTGGTCCAAAATTAAATTCAGCTCTGCAGAAACTTCCTGTCAGAAGAAAGGTGTTAAAACTGAACACAGAAAGTCTTATGCTTTTAATGTTGTGCAGAGAATTCGTAGAAAAAGAATATGTATGGATGTGTGCAGTCAACGGAGGACTGGACAATGATTGACAAATGGCGAATTTCACTAAAGTCCTCCTGTTAATATCAGCTGCCTATATAAGTTGAAGTCAGGAAATGAAAACGGTGGCACACCTCCTCGATGTAACTCTTGCATTGCATTGAGGATACCAGAATTCTGTGAACTGAATTATTCATTTGTATCCAATAAACTGCCAATATCTAAAACCTTGAAGAAAAACCTCCCCTGACCTTTTTATTGAACATGCATGCAATTGATTGAATATTCCAACAGTTATTAAAAATATTATCTGTAAAAATATGTTGAAAAAAATCTCTATTAAACAGAAAATGGGGGTGGTGGTGTGGTAGGGGAAATAAACAGGGGGGTTAATAATTCAGGGGGGCTAATCTGACTTCAACTCTCTATATACAAATATATAAAAATCAAAAAAAGTTTTGTACAGTTTTATGTTTTTATGTATGTGTGTGTGTATTACATATACTTAATAAATATCTAAAATATAAACACAAATATTATGTGATTTGATTTGATTGAAATGCTATTACAATGCTGCATAAATAAAATAATAAATAAATAAATATACAAATAAATAAATTAATTAATTAATAAATTTATGTAAAAATCCACAATTTCCTGCATAAATAAATAAATAAATAATTAATAGTGCATGCAGGCAAATAATTTTAAAAAATTCACAAAGG